CTATTATGATGTATTACACACGACTACATAATGTATTAATTATAATATTTTTATTATTTATAATATAATAATTATATATATTATAGAATAGTATAATATAATATAGTTCTAAGTTTTAATTATATTATAACTGAAATATTATTATTTTTTATATAATATTATAATATTTTTATAATATTATAACTATATTAATTATTTTAATAATATTATTATATTTTATATCATAATTATATAATATATTATATAATAATAGTTTTTTATTATATTAAATATAATAATAAATATATATTATATTGTAATTATATTATAATATAACTATTTAAATAAATTCAACATCATAATTTATCAAACGTTATTACGCTGATTTTAAAACCGGTAGAGCTACTATAATTATAGTTTACCAAACACTTAGCTGCTTTTTGTAATAGATGCTTCGTCCTTTAGCAAAGCTAAAAGTAATTTTTTTAAAATCCACAACACTACCAAACTAAGCCTAAATGTCAATTTCAATAATAGATTTAATGAATGAGGCTTTTTTGTTAACATTTCATTTTCCAAGAGAAACATGTGTTACTTTTTAAAGATTAGAGAGCAAAGTATTACAAAGAGTATAATTCTGAGGGAATTTTTGTAATTAATCTTTTTTTTAAATATTTGTTCTTTGTTCATGACTTTTTTTTCCCTGATTTTTGTTATTTGAGCACTGAAGATGTTTGATTTCTGGGGTTTTTTTTTTTTTTGAGAAATTATTTTTTGAGTTTTTTTAGCTGGTTTCATCATGTTGAGGGGTGGCTAAGATTAAAGGATAAAAGATATTAGTCTAAATTTTTATTATTAATATCTTATTTAATAATTAGGACACATAAAATATCGGATTTACCTCTTTAAAAGATGTCACATGTCAATTTATGTCTATTTTTCAACGGGTGTTATCTAAATATGGTTAATTACAACAACTAAACAATTTAAAAGATTGATTATTAAAATTAAAAATTTTGAGGACATAAGTTAAGCAGTAAATTTGCTAAAAGAACACAGAGAAACCAATTCCAACTGTTACTCCGATGGCTATACTGTCGTGGTCGGCAGATCTGCACGCTCTCACGTGGACGCGGTCGCCAGCTTCCCAAATAAAAGTTAAAAACCACATAGAGAGAGAAACCACCACCGACCTCCAAGGAAACGAGGCCCGGGCCCACGGCCCAATTAGTAATACTTTTCCCAGATCTATTAACTCAAATCAAGTCAAAACAGAAAACGTTAAATTTTCCAGACCGTCCATTACAACGAAGGATCAAACGGCCAAGTTTGATTTCCCTCCAATCGAACATTCTAGACACAATCCCCAAAAATCTTTATATAAACCGGCCTCTCCTCCCCTTCATTCTCACACCCAAGAAACCCTAGTTTCACCAGGCCGCCTCTCTGTTTTCACATTTTTTCTCGTTCGATTATTTTCGGTTTTTTTCTTTGATTTCTTGTTTTCGTTTTCCGATCTGATCTTCAGCAGTAATGGCTGGCAAAGGAGAGGGGCCCGCCATCGGAATCGATCTCGGAACCACATACTCGTGCGTCGGAGTGTGGCAACACGACCGTGTTGAGATCATCGCCAACGACCAGGGTAACAGAACGACGCCGTCTTATGTTGCCTTCACGGACACCGAGCGTCTCATCGGTGACGCCGCCAAGAACCAGGTTGCCATGAACCCCATCAACACCGTCTTCGGTAAGCAATATTTTCCATTTGTCTGTATTTTCTTTTTCGTCATGATCAGATTTATTTATGCTGTGGTTCTGATGTTATTTAGGTTTTTGTTGGAAATATGATTTTTTTTGTTAGATCTAGTGTTGTTAGCTTCAGTTTGTTAGGTCTTGGGTTTCACACTTATATAGCTTTGCAAACTTGTATTATCGAACAGATCGGATCTGTTGGTTTTTTTATTAAATAAAACCATTATATTAAGTATAATGTGTGAATAGTTTTATGGTCAGAATATGATTTGAATCTACTTATGGAATTTGCATATGAAAACATAATTAATTTATTTTGGATGCTAAGTAGATTATTAGTTTGGCCATAATTTTATTTTCATGTGAATACGATCTAAATAGAGTTAATGGAATTTGCATGTTACTGAGTAATATGAAGGTATAGAATTTGATTTGATCCGTGATATGAGATTGTCACGTTTTGTATAATTGTGGCTAAATCTGAAAATATATTTATTAATGCAGATGCAAAGCGGTTGATTGGTAGGAGATTCAACGATCCATCGGTTCAGAGTGACATCAAGCTCTGGCCGTTCAAGGTAATCTCTGGCCCGGGTGACAAGCCCATGATTGTGGTTAACTACAAGGGGGAAGAGAAGCAGTTTGCCGCCGAGGAAATCTCCTCCATGGTCCTCATAAAGATGCGTGAGATCGCCGAGGCTTACCTTGGCTCCACCATCAAGAACGCTGTCGTTACTGTCCCTGCTTACTTCAATGACTCTCAGCGTCAGGCTACCAAGGATGCTGGTGTCATTGCCGGCCTCAATGTGATGCGTATTATCAATGAGCCCACAGCAGCCGCCATTGCCTATGGTCTTGACAAGAAGGCCACCAGCGTTGGTGAGAAGAACGTGTTGATCTTTGATCTTGGTGGTGGTACTTTTGATGTGTCTCTTCTGACCATTGAAGAGGGTATCTTTGAGGTCAAGGCAACTGCAGGTGACACTCACCTTGGAGGAGAAGATTTTGACAACAGGATGGTGAACCACTTTGTTCAGGAGTTCAAGAGGAAGAACAAGAAGGACATTAGCGGAAACCCAAGAGCCCTTAGGAGGTTGAGAACAGCTTGTGAGAGGGCGAAGAGGACTCTTTCGTCCACTGCCCAAACGACCATTGAGATTGATTCTCTCTATGAGGGTATTGATTTCTACTCCCCCATTACCCGTGCTAGGTTTGAGGAGCTCAACATGGACCTCTTCAGGAAGTGTATGGAGCCTGTTGAGAAGTGTTTGAGAGATGCCAAGATGGACAAGAGCAGTGTTCATGATGTTGTCCTTGTTGGTGGGTCCACCAGAATTCCCAAGGTGCAGCAGTTGTTGCAGGACTTCTTCAACGGGAAGGAGCTTTGCAAGAGCATTAACCCTGATGAGGCCGTTGCTTATGGTGCTGCTGTCCAGGCTGCTATCTTGAGCGGTGAAGGAAATGAGAAGGTTCAGGACTTGTTGCTCTTGGATGTCACCCCTCTGTCTCTTGGTTTGGAAACTGCTGGTGGTGTTATGACTGTTTTGATCCCGAGGAACACAACAATTCCCACCAAGAAGGAGCAGGTTTTCTCCACCTACTCTGACAACCAGCCCGGTGTGTTGATCCAGGTCTACGAGGGTGAGAGAGCTAGGACCAGGGACAACAACTTGCTTGGTAAATTTGAGCTCTCCGGCATTCCCCCAGCTCCCAGGGGTGTTCCTCAGATCAATGTCTGCTTTGATATTGATGCCAACGGTATCTTGAACGTCTCTGCGGAGGACAAGACAACCGGGCAGAAGAACAAGATCACCATCACCAATGACAAGGGTAGATTGTCCAAGGATGAGATCGAGAAGATGGTTCAAGAGGCCGAGAAATACAAGGCAGAGGATGAAGAGCACAAGAAGAAGGTTGATGCCAAGAACGCTCTTGAGAACTACGCTTATAACATGAGGAACACCGTCAAGGATGAGAAGATAGCCTCTAAGCTTGATGCTGCTGACAAGAAGAAGATTGAGGACGCCATTGATGCAGCTATTCAGTGGCTGGATGGCAACCAGCTTGCTGAGTCCGACGAGTTTGAGGACAAGATGAAGGAGCTCGAGAGCGTCTGCAACCCCATCATTGCAAAGATGTACCAGGGTGCCGGTGGTGACATGGGAGGAGCCATGGACGATGATGTCCCACCTTCTGGTGGCAGCGGTGCTGGTCCTAAGATTGAGGAGGTCGATTAAGTGCGTCCTTTCTCTGTTTGGGAATCTGCCCGTGCTATCAAATATTTTTGGTTTTCTTTAGGAATAGGGAAAATCGGATTTTATCTTTTAGACTTTTAATATTTTTGGAACATTCTTATTGTTCACATGGTCTAGGATTTTTCATTATTAACTCCAAATATATCTATGCGGTTCCCAGATCAATTGTACTGCGATTTTACCATTATATTTTAGAATCGGCAAAAGCTAAATATGCTGGCTTTTTTTGTTTATTATTTTTCAATGCTTTTTCTTGATAATAGAAATTGACGTCTATATTCCTTCTGTCGTGTAGTTTATTCAAATTGGGGAATTTTGTTTCGTTGAACTCCTTAAGCAACCGAAGAAAAAAGTTGGCACTTCTCTCTTATCCGTTATAGCTGTAATCAGTGATCACAAAAATCTTAGCGTACGGGTAAATTGCTTTTTCTCTCGATATTGCTCGCATTCTCTAAGGTAAAGGGTACATATGTACCGTAATTAGGGGTGTAAGTATTGGCCCGAACATGAAAAATCCGTTTAACCTGACCCGACCCGACTTTATAGGTTTTTCTTTTGGATTAAAATGGTTCCAACCTATGCGAGTTGGGGGCGGGTCGGGCATGTTTGAACCCGCAATGCCGATCCGGCCGTTTGGAAGCCTTAGAGTTAGCCTTAATTCCTAAATCCCTCCCTCGTCCTCACTCCTCCTCACCTCATCAATCTCAGACTCTCAGTGGCTCACTCTCTCGACTCTCTTCTTCTCAATCTGATCCTCTGCTGTCCCTCCTTGCATCTCGCCTCCCTCCTCTCTTCTCGTCTCTCGCCTCTTGCCTCACACATGCCTCGCCTCGCCTCCTCCTTCACCCTAAATCCCTCGTCCCTAAATTACTCGCCGTTCCTCACACTCACTGTTCCTCGCCGTTCATCGTAAGCCACCGTTCATCTTCTTCTTCCAGATTTTTTTGTTTTGTTTTTTGATTTATGATTTATCTCTGAATCAAAGCAAACCAAACATAAATGGGTCTGTTTGTTTGATTTCGTTTTTGGTTGATGTCGTTTTTGGTTGATTTTCGGTTTTCCATTGATGTCGTTTTTGGTTCCAGTTGCCCTGGAGGTGGAGCTCACGGCGGCGACAGTTTGATTCTTGCTTCTTGCTTCTTCTAGTTTCATCAGGTAAGTTCCGTGAAGCCTTACGTGAAACTTGCTTTGGTTCTGTTCATGAATTGGTTCTGTTCATGCTTGCTTACAGTATTAGGTACACAAGTGAAAGAATATATATATGTGTGTGTGTGTGTGTCTGTGTATTAAACGTGGGAATAAATGAGCCAATAGCCATGTGGTTGATGGCTTGATGCTCCTGGAGGTGGAGCTCACGCATGGCTCGGATTATTTGGTAGAATATTTACCGTTCTTCTGGTCCTTTTGTGCTTTCTAATTCTCTTATGACTACAGTTTGGTTTTCAATGAATTTTTTTGTTTATTATCTACCATGATGAGTGCTTAATATAGCACAGAAGATGTTTTAGACCCAATATGTGGAAGTACAAGCATTAATTATGGACACGAGAACCTAGTCTGTAATAGTTTTTGAAGATATATCGTTGATATCAGTGTATGATAAAGGTTGAGATGTTTGTAATTTTAAACACGAAAAGGAGTACTTTTTCATTATGAACTCTCCAGAGATACAATTACTACATGTCATACATAAAAATAGAAGATACACGTTAAACATATCATGTCCCAGGGACTATTTTACTTAAGGTTCAGAAGAAGACTGATAGAATATTTCAACTATTACTTATGTCCTTGCCTTCCTAGCTCCAATTGTCATATTCCTGGATAGTTCACCATGCCTAGAGTTTGAGAAAGGATATAAAGAAAATAAAAAATAAAAAATTACTAATTACACACAAACAATGTCAATCTACTTAACATTCTTAGACCTTAATGCCACCCCTTTATCTTAAAGCAATAGTTGCAGTACATACATGCACACACGACACACGTCATTGTTATCCCTTGAATCTTTCTAGTCAAATCTTTAAGCCCCTACGTTATTGTTATCCATTTTTTTTTTTTTTTTTTTTGGAACTTAGAGATGATGTTGGGTCAATCTCACTTTAGTACCTAATTTAACACTTATTTTACTAATTTGTGTTCTAGATGAAAAAATTTATCATCCACCCAATAAAAATTTTTGAAAGCACTTGCAAGTCCTCTGCTGAAACAGAAAGTGTCTCTATGCCTAAAGAGCCCATTATCTCGCCCACTCCCACACCCAGCCCTACCCCTGTACCTAATTTGGGCACTAAAATTGAAAACGAAAAAGAGGTGGGAGACAGTAAAAAGATGAAGAAGTCACGAAAAAAAGTATTCTGTTTAGGATCATTTCAAAAGAGTTTATTCATCATTTTATGTCCACATATTTATGAATATTTTATGAATATCAAATGAAAATTCCGTGATTGTTTATGTAACCTTAAACATAGTATATAAGTGTTATATACGAGAGGATAGTGTTTAAGGATAATAATAAAAAAACATTGTTCATGATGAATTTAATTAAAGTTCGGAATCTTTAATTAATATATTATTAATACATGTCATTCCCATTTAGAATGGAACGGTGTTATCCGAACTGTTAATATGGTGAGATATTGAATGAGTGTATTTCACATAATAAGATTATGTAGAACAAGGACACAAACACAATATGAATTTATAATAATTTTCGTTAAAGCATAGAAATTCTAATTGAGTCTACCGATGGTCATATATATGATGATCTTAATCTTGAGTTCTTAACAAACTCCTATTTATGGATTTATGTCTTTTAATTTACTCAGTACGGATTCCGAGACCCTGAATCCTATTCCTTGTATTTTGGAGACATATTGAAATAGGTAGCTGAGAATGTTATTATACGAGAAGGAATCCATTCCTTCTTGAGAAAGAAGTAGATAAATAATTCTCTTGAGTGTTGATTCGGTACTTGGATTAGTAAGAGCGCTTTGGTTCATGAATGTGTTTTATGAATCACTATCCATTAGAGAATCAATGGTACTCAAGAATGCAGATATAATTAGAGAGGTTAACGGATTCTACCTGACTCTAATTAGGAATTATTTATGGAGGATTGATCTATATATAATGACTATATCAAATGGACACTTCGCAGTTTAGAAGTAATTAATGTCTGTAATTTTGAGAGTTCAATTCCAAGTTTATAGTAAAGTAACTATTGGAATTAATAGAATTAATTAATTAATTAAAGTGTTTAATTAATTATTAATTTTATTGGAGCTCGGGATTATAGGTCTATTATCCCCGCATCGTCCTTGTAATTCTACCATACACAAAGGGCAAAATGAGAATTTTAGAATTACGATATTCTAAAATTGAATACTCAAAAAATAATTAATTGAGAATTAATTATTATTTAAATAATGTGATTATTTAAATTTGAATTTGAACACATCTAGATTTATCCATTTAAACTTATTTGATAAGTTGTTCAATTTAGAATTCAAATTAATTTAAGTTTGACTTAAATTCGAATTTGAATTTGCATTAAAATTGGACTACTAGATAAATGATAAAATATCTTCCTTCCCTATCTGTGATTGGCGCCACACACAGGGTAAAACCCTAGTGATGTGGCCGGCCACTTAAAGGATAAAGGGAAGGGATTTTTTTGTTCCAAAATTTAAATTGGAGATAGGGATTTGATTATGTTTTGAAGTTTAACTTCTACTCTTTAAATATGAGAATGATAAAAAATTGTGGACACAATTTTTGAAACATTTTTTCTGCCTTAAATTGTTTGGTGGCTGAAATTCATAGAGGAAAAAAAAAGAGCAAATATTTTTCTCCAAAAAATTCCACATCGTGCATGCGTTGGTGTTTGTGGAAATTTGAGTGTTTGAGAAACCTGTTTTGTCTCACGTGTGTCCACACACACGTCTACGTGAAATCAAGGAATTGACGTGGAAGACTTTGGTATTCTAAACACAAACTTGGAGTAAGGACTGTTCGTGGTCAAATAACTCAAGTTATCATCCGAGTCGGCTTCCAAGTATTTTTTCGGATTGAGTTCTTGATGTAAATTAATGCGATTAATTTATTCGTGCATAAATTAATATAATCTATACAGTATCTTAAAAGTTTTTCTGAAATTTTTGTTATACACGATCCGCGTCTCCCCGCCACGCTTCCGCACCCGAATTCGATTCGGGAACCAACAATTGGTATCAGAGCGGTCTATAGACGATATTAATTTATGCTTCAATTATTTGATAATCAGAATTAATATATTAAATATGTGATATTTAATTATGTATGTATGTGATGGGTAGGCACTTGCATTTATAGATGTTTATTTTAATTCATGATGATGAATGTATGGATGGTGGATTTGGTCGTTAATTATATGGTTCCATGGATCGGTTATATTCATTCGTTAATAAATTATTTGTAATTTAATTCAGGATTAGAATTATTGTAATTCTAGGTTTTGGGTAGAATTAGGGTTTTTGATTTTGAATCAAAAATTAGGCCTTGAAGATCAAGTTTGAAGCCTTCAAAGAAGTCCAGAAAACTGCCCAGAAAATTTCCAAAAATCAGCCAAAGCGCGGCCCTAGTGTGCGGCCCAGCAGCCCCAGTGCGGCCCAGCACGCCAACGCGCGGCCCAACACGGCTGGCGGCCCAGTTTCGGGATTTGATCCCAAACGGCCTCGAAGGTTTCTGAAACCCTCGTAATGCGTGCTGACGGACCCGAAAAAGTTTCGGACCCCAAGAAAGGTGAAATCCAACCCGAAGACAAAGAATGAAGCCGAAGAATAAAGAACTCGAGAATCGAAGACCCGTTGATGTAACGGAAGAATATAATTATTGTAATTATTTATTTATTCGATTCGATTGAGTTGTAATTTATTTTTTCATGAGACCCGGTCAAATCCATCTCAATAGCTGATTGCATATATTTATATTTTATGTTGATAATTATATATTATATGTCCATGCATATCACATGCCATATAGATATAATGTGCCTACTCATATGTTTTATAACATGCCATGCATACACATGCATTCGTTATTGTTTATTTTATTTATTATAAAAGTGTTTTAGAAAAATAAAATAAAATAAGAACCATGCGCTGAAAATCGATTTAATATGATTAAATTGATTTAAGTTGCAAAATTGATTTGCAAAATAATGTAACATGTGAAATTGAATTTAAGAG